TTCAGGTCCTCCACACACATTGTCAGCCCCAACTACTAAACCTGTGAGTCATCACAGAGTCGCCCAGAAAAGGGACAGTGAGACAGCCGGCCCTCTGACAGAAATAGCCGCGGGGTGGGGCCCGCAGATCATGGGAGCCCAGCAGGACTGCCCACCCCTCAGCCAGAACCGTCTTGTGGGGAGTCAGCCCCAGGTCACAGGCAGGGTGCAGGCCATTCCCCTGATAGCTCAGACCATGACGCACAGCCACTCGGAAGGCTCGTCTTGTCATATTTCTAATGCCTGTTACTGATGCACCAAGATGTGTGCATGTGTCTCAGGACGACGAGCCGGGGTGGGGGCCCAGGGTCACCCCACGGTGGTTCTGTTAGAACTGGGGGTGGGGGGTGCCTGAAGGCTCCTCACGTCTTCCCACCCTGGAAGGAGGGGCTCTGACACCACCCCAGTCCCAAACCACTGGCCACACTGGATAGATTTCACCCTCCGGTCCAGAAGGTGTGCATCCACCGGCCAGCCTCAGAAAAGCAAACTTGTTGGGAAGAAACGAGTGAAGGTGATGGTTCAAACGGAGGGAAACCAGCTGCAAGAAGCCCGTGTTGCAGATGCTGCCCCCGTGTGATCTCACCCTAGGGCACAAGTCATGCCCGGACACCAGCAGCCTGTGTCATGCCATCGGGGCTCACCTCTGACTCCAGAGGAGCCAGACCTGCCTGCCGAGAGCCAGAAGATGGGGAAGCAGGGGTCTGATGGAACCAGACTTCCGGGCCGCTCTGCACAGAGGCTGGGGCACCCCACGCCCAGGCTGGGTCCTCGAATGGCCTCAAGGCTGGAGCGGAAAAGCAGTCAGGACAGGACAGGGTGCTTTCTTAATAGCCCCAGAGATTTACCGGGAGTTGTGAGAGCAAGACCCTTGCACTCTTTGGAAGGATGAGGGGTGGGAGGACAGCAAGTGACCAGGGGCTTTAGGACAGAACATCTTGTGTCTCTGGGACCACCCAGAGCGTGGCATGGAGGCTGTCCTAAGCTGGGTTTGGAGGTGACTGCTCCGTCCAGGATTGCAGAAGGAAATGGCAACCCACTCCAGTGTTCTTGCCTGGAGAATCCCAGGGACGGGGGAGCATGGTGGGCTGCCGTCTATGGGGTCCTCCCTCGGGGGCCCTGGAGTGACCTGCACCCCCCTCGTTGGTGCCTTCAGGAGGCAAGCGGGTGGGGTGGGGCTTCCTGCGTCCTCACTCCCCTGGGTCAGTCGCTGCCCCTGGGGTGCGAGGTCTTAACCCCCCTCCCCTGAAGGGTGACCCTCATGGGGCCATGGGCACTTCTCTAGTGAAGGGGAGGGGTCATGAACCCGGAACAGCTGCACTCACAGGTCAGGGGTCAACTTCTGCCAATAGCGGGGGGATCTGGGAGGCACCCTGGGGAGTGCCCCGAGGGCAGCATCCCAGCAAGACCACTTTGGAGGGGAGGCCACAGTCGTGGGGGTTGCTGTGCTATGAAAGAGGAAGGGAATCCCACCAGCGTTCACCGGATGGTGAGCTCACCCAAGGGCTGGTCTCCTGCAGCCTGTAGAGCCGACTTCCTTGTGCTAGAAACGCAAACAGCTGGGTGTTTTGAGACAAGACCCTTGCACTCCCAGCAGAGCTCAGGATGAGAGGCTGCTACCTTTGGATGCTACCAGAATCCTGAGCAGCACGCTCAAGGCAGTGGGAGAGAAAACTACATTTGCTTTCAGACTCCCCTCCCAGGGATGAGAGACACGCTGCTCCAGTTTCTCAAGGTAGCTTGCTAGACCTTCTTCCTGACAACATCTTGCCTGAATCCCACCTCGGACAGCGAGAAACAAGCCATTCCTGCAAATGCATCTGCAGCGTTTTCAAGTTACAGCTCCATTTACTATCAACGTGCCCGGAGTAAGGCCATAAAGGAACTGCGGAAATAAAAGCAGAGCCTCCAATGGGTCCCTGCTTCCCGTTCCTGCACAAAGAGAGTCTGAAGCCATGGGGGGGGGGGGTTGCAGCCGGCTCTCCACCGTGGCCCTGCCCCGGCTCCCCCCTCCATTGCCCCCAGTCCCCGCCCGACTCCAACACTGCTGCCTGGAATTTTCCACTTATCCTCTGAGTGCACATTCCTGGGGGCCTGCCTGACCCAAGCCTGACCCACCCCCTGCCACTCTTGTAAGGCCTCTTGATTTTTTCCTTTGGGCCCCCCGCATGTCCCCAAGAGCGTCGGGGGAGGCCAAGTCCCCCCATTTCCCACTTCCAGGATGGGCCTGATTGATCACCGGGTAACCTCCCCTGCCCCGCCCCCGTGCCGGGGAGTCCACTGTGCTGGTCAGAGAGCTTGGCTCAGGAGCGGTGGGGGAGACTCGAGAGATCTGTCGGGGAAGATGCTTCCAGCTCTCAGGACAGAGCCAACTGCAGAGGTCGCCCAGCAGAGCCGGCTGCAGAGACGCCGTGGAGGCTAGGGGCCACTGCCCTGGGGACGCTGCCCGGACAATCTGCCCTCCAGCCAGTACATTTCCCCGCGTGGAAGCCAGTCCAGGTCAGGGTTTCTGTCATTTCAAGAATAACTCAAAATGCCGCTTCCTCCAGGGAGCTGCCTCTGATTGCTATTCTTAGTCCCATCGATAAATTGTTACTCTCTCATTTCTAAACCTTTAGGGCCCAATATCCTTTTAATCTCAGATCTCTTCCTGTCTTCTATTACTGTCATGCTCTAAGTCAGACCCCAATTCCTCAAGGGCAGATGCTCTTTAAGTCCATCCCTGAATCCCAGTCTCCCTAGGACATGGCTTCGGAAAGAGTACTGTGTATCTGCTGAGTCAATGAGCAAATGAGAAAGTATTCATATGAAACTTTAAGATAATTTTGTTGATTTTTATAAGAACTCTCTAGAACTCCATGGTGAATATATATTTGCCATTTGAATAGTGATTCTAATTTTCACAGTTGGGAGACAGAATTCAGTTTGCAGTAAAATGTATTTGCACCAGCTCCTTCCAACACGACAGATACCTGCCACTCAGCACTCGGAACAGCTACATGGCTGGGGTTATTGGGACGATGTGCACGCCAGTAGTCCTTACATCTGGCCAGTGACTCACTTTACATCTATGCTCACTTTCTTTAATCCTGACAGCCTCAGGGGAGGTCTTTTTTCCCATTTTAAAGATGAAAAAACAGAGGCCGGGAAGAGGCTGACTAGGATAGCACAGCCTGCTATCACAGATAGCACAGAGGAGCTGTGTGTAGCTCCAGGCCTGGGTCTGACACCCGTGTCTGAATTTGTCACTGCCAACTGCATCCCCAGGCTGGGAGGAGGCCCCTCCCGGTTACTCTGCACCTCAAGGCTCCCCCCCAGGAGCATCCCTTGGCCTTTCCTTCCAGTCTGTTTTAAGAAAATCCAGCAGATGTGCGGTGGACTTCAGGGCCCTCAATCTCCTTCCTCGGTCCGCAACCACTGCTGGAAAGACAAGGCGCACGTATCATGTCACCTCAGGCCTCCCAAAGAACACCTGTTTGGTTTTATGTTTAAACACTTACTTACATGACCATCTTCACAGGGGTGGGGATTATGTTCAAGCTGCTACATTTAGCAAGTGCCTATATTTAGCCACATGTACTGTAAGTGCCTCGTACCCCTTCTGTTTTTTAGGCAATATAAAAGAGACTTAGCAGCACTTACTATGAGCCCAGCTCTGTGTTGAGCACTGGGGATACAAAATGAGTAAGACAGTGCCTGCCTGGTGGTCGCCTTCTACGGGGGACGGACAGGTGAGCAGATATGGCTGAGGCCACGTGACCACCATGGCAGGTGTAGGGAGCAAAAGCTAGAGGAACCCGAGTGCAGGCAGGGAGACATCTGCCTGGGCTGATGGGGGAGGTCTCACACAGGACACAAATCTACCATGGGTTTTAAGGGATAAATAGGAGTTTCCCTGGAAAGCCCAGTTTCTTCCCACATGGAGAAAAACAAACGCCTTTATTCATTCAATATTCAACAAATACTGAGCAACAGCCACGAGTCCATAAAAGCCAATCATCTAAGAACTGGTACTAGAGTGGACCTCCATAAATAGCTGAGTGAGGCAACCAGACATCACAGTCTACACCGCCTGGAGGTTTTTCCACGTGATGATAATGACATGTAGACAGCCTCTCCATCACACTCCAACACTTGGAAGAGAGTGGATGGGGAGGGGGGCCTGTCTAGAGTGAGCACGCTGGCCAGGCAATCCAGAAGGCGCACAAAGGTGTCCTGTGACATGACAAGCCAAGCTCTGTCCCCTGTGGGCCCGAGGAATCTCGCCCCTTCCCAGGGAACCTGCTGCCACCGGTCTCCCTGGCATCTTTCTCCTGCGGTTTGTTTAGCCCGAAGGCTGAACTCTTGCGGGAGGAAAAAGGCGCTTGTACAAGTACCCTAGCGGGACTCCTTTAATTTGCACACTTCAAGTTCATCACCGACAGTTATCGTAAACTCTGCCCTGGAAACTTTGATGAGACCCTCTCAGTGTGCCTGGGCCCGCTCTCAGCCTGGGTCCAGAAAGGAGATCCGGGGAGACCCCGGTTCACGCCCCAGCCGCGCCCTGTGTGACAATCGAGACGACAGTGGGTCACACACAGGAGCGGGGTCATTTCGCCAGGGCCATGTGGCCTCCGGGGACTGTCCGCAGGCCTCCGGGGGTCGGGCCTACATCACCCCTACGATGAGGCGCACAACCCAGTCGGGCGCTCGCCCCCCACCAGGCCGGCCCGTGCGTGCGCAGGGTGGGGAGGGGGCGGCACCCCAGTCCTGCTCGGCGAGGGGGCGGCGGCCAGACGGGGCCGGGGGCCTGGGGGAGGGCTCGGTGTCGCCGGCCGGTCCCCTCGGCGGAGGACCCGCGCCCGGCCCACCGAGGTGCCGGCCCGGCCCGCGCCCCGCCCGCCGCGCCGGCGGACGGACGCCCGACAGCTGCGGTGGAGCCCTGGCGCCCGCGACCCGCTCCGGCCGGGCCCCGCGCTCACCTCGCGCGCGATCTGGTTCAGCGCGTCGTCCTCCGCCGTCAGCCGCTCCCGGTTGGGGAGCCGCTTGCGCCCCGATCCCTGCGTGCCCATGTCCATCGGCCGAGTCGCCCGCTGCGCCGCGGGAACCTGGCTCCGCCGCCCGCGCCCCTCTGGCCGCCCGGCCCCGCTCCGCCCCGCCCTCCGCCGGCGTCATGGCGTCAGCGGGCGCGGGCCGGGGACGCGGGGACGCGGGGACAGGGGCTGGGGACGCCCCGGGAGGGGGACGCGGGGACCGGGGCTGCGGGGACTGCAGGGACGCCGGGGCGCGCCACATGGGGACCCGGGCGCTGGGGGCCTGGGTATGGGGGCGCCCGGGGGAGGGGGGCACGGAGACCAGGGCTGCGGGGACTGCAGGGACGCAGGGGACAGGAGCCGGGGACGCCCGGGGAGGGGAACACGGGGACCCGGGCTGCTGAGATGCGCCGGAGGGGGACCCGGGAGCCGGGTGCGCTAGGACTCCAGGGGCCAAGGGTCCCGGGGCTGGGGGCTGGGGGCGCAGGGAAGCCTGGGGACCGTGAACGTGGGGATGCAGGAGGTTTTGGACGGCTGGGAGTCAGGGGAAGGGCGTGAGGATTCGTGGGGCAAGGGGACTGGGGGCGCCGGTGGGAACACGGGCTCGGGGCGTGAGAGCTAGGCGGAGGCGCAGGGACACGGGAACCAGTTCAAGGAGACCTCAGGGGCTGGGGGTTCCAGTGGGGGACAGGGATGGGGGTGCGGGGACGACGGGGGACAGTGAACAGGGAAATGGCAGGAGGCCTGGGATGGCTCGGAGTCGGGAGCTTCTGGGCGCTGGGGAGGGGGTGATGGGGGCTCCGGACGTTGGTGGGGACCCGGAGCAAGCTATGGCAGAGGATTCAGACAAAGGAGGCAGAGCCAGAGATGCCAGGAGCGCCCAGGGTTTGCGTTGGCTGGGAGGTGGGGAACCCTGGAGGGTGGACTTCCCTGGCAATCCTGGACTGACCTCCCCAGGGCAGGGGCTACCCCGCAAGCCCCGACCTCAGAGAGGATGCTGAAGAACTCGCAGTGGTTGGGTTGCCAGAAGGGTTTGCACTCACGGGTGGGTGCAGGGACCTGCTTCAAACCTGCGCCCCAGGTGAAATGGGGTCTGACCTCACAGATAGTGTCAGGCCCCAGTTCAGTTCAGTCACTCAGTCGTGTCCGACTCTGCGACCCCACGGACTGCAGCACACCAGGCCTCCCTGTCCATCACCAACTCCCGGAGTCCACCCAAACCCATGTCCATTGAGTCGATGATGCCATCCAACCATCTCATCCTCTGTCGTCCCTTTTTCCTCCTGCCCTCAGTCTTTCCCAGCATCAGAGTGTTTTTCAATGAGTCAGCTCTTCTCATCAGGTAGCCAAAAAAAAAAAATAAATAAATAAATAAACTAAAAAAAAAAAAAAAAACAAAGTATTGAGTTTCAGCTTCAACATCAGTCCTTCCAATGAACACCCAGGACTGATTTCCTTCTGGATGGACTGGTTGGATCTCCTTGCAGTCCAAGGGACTCTCAAGAGTCTTCTCCAACACCACAGTTCAAAAGCATCAATTCTTCAACACTCAGCTTTCTTTATAGTCCAACTCTCACATCCATACATGACTACTGGAAAAACCATAGCTTTGACTAGACGGACCTTTGTTGGCAACGTAATGTCTTTGCTTTTTAATACGCTGTCTAGGTTGGTCATAACTTTTCTTCCAAGGAGCAAGCATCTTTTAATTTCATGGCTGCAGTCAGCATCTGCACTGATTTTGGAGCCCAGAAAATAAAGTCTGTCACTGTTTTCACTGTTTCCCATCTATTTGCCATGAAGTGATGGGACTAGATGCCATGATCTTCATTTTCTGAATGTTGAGTTTTAAGCCAACTTTTTTTTTTTACTTTCATTAAGAGGCCCTTTAGTTCTTTTTTGCTTTCTGCCATGAGGGTGGTGTCATCTGCATATCTGAGGTTATTGATATTTCTCCCAACTCTCTTGATCCTAGCCTGTGCTTCCTCTAGCTCAGCGTTTCTTATGATGTGCTCTGCATAGAAGTTAAATAAGCAGGGCATTCAGCTCTGACTCTAGTCTACCAGGCTGCAGGATCTGGCCACTACTAACGCCCCATCCCGCCACCCCGAGCCTTAGAGCACATTCAGAAAGCCCGTGTTGATGGTGCTTCCTTCTTCAGGCGCATGTTTTCTGGGACCTGTGACTTCATTCCTGTGTCCCCAGCTTCTAGGAAAAGGCCTGACAGAACAGTTATTCTCAGGAAGTAGATGTTCAAAAAGGAGTGACTTTACCTGAGCTTTACCTTCCACACTCTAAAGATGGTTTAAAATGGAATCAGAGGCATGTTTATTTATTGGCATCCCTAGTGGCTCAGATGGTAAAGAATCTGCCTGCAATGCAGGAGACCCGGGTTCGATTCCTGAATCAGGAAGATCCCCTGGAGAAGGGAATGGTAACCCACTCCAGTATTCTTGCCTGGAGAATTCCGTGGACAGAGGAACCTGACAGGCTATAGTCCATGGCATTGCAGAGTCATACACCATTGAGCAACTAACGCAGCTATAGTTTATTTGGTACTTATCAGGTGGCACAGTGGTAAAGAATCTGTCCTGCCAACGCAGGAGACATAAGCAGCTTGGGTTCAATCTCTGGGTTGGGAAGATCCCCTGGAGGAGGAAATATCAACCTGCTCTGGTATTCTTGTCTGGGAAGTCCCATGAACAGAGGAGCCTGGTGGGCTGTAGTCCATGGGGTTGCAGATTGTCGGACACAACTGATGGACTGAGTATGCATATCAACTATTCTATACATCATGTATCAACTATACTTCAACTTTAAAAACAAACTAAAACTGTAGGATCAGATAAGATTTACAAAGCCATTGCCTTCTCACTTAGGGTAAAGACCTGACTACCTGTCAGTATTGGATTAGGGAAGAAGAAATGCGCTGGTGGAAACTCAGGGTCCAGAAGTTAGTGCTCTATTTGGGGTGTGGAGAGAACGTTAATGCTCTAGGGAAGAAGGGAGGGCAGGCCCACCCTGAAGTCACCTGTGACTCCTGACCCCGCCCCTCGCCCCCTCAGAGGTAAATATGGTTAACAGTTTGGTATGTTTCTAACCAAGTGATGTGCCCAGGTAAGTCTGTGCTCTTAGGAAGTCACCTGGGAGTTGGCTGGGAGAGGGGACAGAAAGGGGACCCGGCAGTGGCCGAGAAGGATGCTGGAGGTTTATTGCGGGGAGAAGACGGTGGGGGAGTGACCCAGGAGGTGCTGTTGCTCAGGACATCTTAGTGGACTGCCTTGGGGTGGGTCATCAGGGCAGAGGGGTGGTGACCTGGTTCCTGGTTGCACTCCTAGAGCTTGCATTTGCCTGTCACAGTGGAGCGACTGAGTTTCCTACATCACATTTTACACCGCTTAGAACCCCAGAGTCCTTAGATGACGCAGTCCTGGATGGAAGAGCATCCCTAGGTCTGTCTTCAGTCCTGCTGGAGGCTCACTGTTCCCCCAGCACCTGATGCCTTGTGAAGGCTCTGTCTTTGCTCAGGCTGGTGCCCATGGCTTCCCTCACTCACTCACCCACACCTGCTGCCCCGCAGGTGCTGTGCCAGAGGCTGGGGCAGAACCACCAAGGACTCAGACAGAGCCGCTGTTCTCTTGGGACTTACCCAAGATACTGGGAACTGCTCATCCAAAGACACATCAACACTCCAACATCTCCTTCATTTTATTTTAATTTTTTAATTAAATTTTTAAACACATTTTTTTTAATTTTTAAAAAGTTAAAAATGTTTTTCTTTTTGCCATACTGCATGGCATATTGGGATCTTAGTTCCCCAACCAGGGATCAGACCTGTGCCTGCAGGGAAAGCACAGGGTCTTAACTCCTGGAGCACCAGGGAAGTCCCCAGCAGCTCCCTTCTGGAAGAAGTCTTTCCAGCTCCTCAAGGCCGCTCCTGCTTTCCTCACCCATCTTCATCAGGACGTCAAGCCGCTCTCTATGCCAGCACTGAAATTCTTCTGTGCTGACCTTATCTTGCTCAGCTGTCTGCCCTCACTGGGGACTGGATGTTTCACTGCTTCAATCATAATGAGAGCATCTGGCTGAACTTGGGGACTGAGGACAGGTTCCGACCCCCCTCCTGACTGTCCCAATTGGGTTTTGTCCAGAGACAGGACTCACTGCCTTAGGGACTGGCTGGAGGTATTTCTGAATAGCTCAGTCCCTCCACAGTGTCTGAGGACACTGCGGTGAATCCTGTCTCCCACCTCTCCTCCATCAGCCACCCCCATCTGGGAAAGGGCCGCTTCTCAGGAATCATCGGAACCAAGGTTGCTAGTCCTCACGTGGTCCCATGAGGTCATGACCTCCTGGACCACCATCCGTGTGCTTCCTCCTTCTTTGGTGACATGCTCTGAAACTGACTGCTTCTCCCTTGGGGATCAGTTCTGGCCTGGTACTCTTGCCTGGAAAACCCTATGGACAGAGGAGCCTGGTGGGCTGCAGTCCATGGGGTCGCTACAAGACAGACACGACTGAACGACTTCACTTTCACTTTTCGCTTTTGTGCACTGGAGAAGAAAATGGCAACCCACTTCAGTGTTCTTGCCTGGAGAATCCCAGGGACAGGGGAGCCTGGTGGGCTGCCATCTCTGGGGTCGCGCAGAGTCGGACACGACTGAGGCGACTTAGCAGCAGCAGCAGCTGGCCTGTGAGTGATACCTGCCTTGTCTGGGTGCAGGCAGTCCACGAAATGAGCTATTTCGGGGCTTGACACATAGGCAGTCAATAAGTGGTCCTTGAGCTCCTGTCCCCATTCATCTGGGATGAATGGGGCAGCAGCTCCTGCTGGGGCGTGAGGGGGTGGGCAAGGGCATTAGATAGCTTTGTGGGTGTCCCCTGTTCTTGGGGTGCCCCTTGAGGGATTCAGAAACCCACAAGACTCCATCCATCAGGCTGAGCCGTGGCTCCCCAAGGAGCTGTGGCTTTCTCTTTGCTCTGGACGCTCAGCCGCTCCTGCATCGTTGTCCATGAAGCTGCTTCTGCCTGGAAGACTG